GTGTGTGTGTGTGTGTGTGTGTGTGTGTGTGTGTGTGTGTGTGTGTGTGTGTGTGTGTGTGTGTGTGTGTGTGTGTGTGTGTGTGTTCGTTCGTGACCTATTTATAATTCATGCAATTCACTGCAGAGGACTGTGGAGAACAGTTCCTGCTGAAATCAATCTTTAAAGAAAACGTGTGCTCATTAAAAGTGTGCACTGTACACACACACACACACACGCATGTAGTGTTTGTGTGTGTGTATGTGTGTGTACTGCCGTGAGCGCTGCACGCTCTCTGTCTTTCTCTCTTTCCAAGTTAACTGTGAAAACGATCTCCTCTCGGCTCGGATCAGCGTCTCCCTCTTGTTTGCTGAGATCAAAACAAGAAACATGATGTGTTCTCTGATCTTTCTTTATCCAGAGCAGCACTAATGTGAAACATTATTAATACTATAATGCGTGAAGATACTGTGGTCGTGAATAAATGAACAGCTTTGTTTTAAAGTGGGATACACACCATTTAAAACCTTGTCGAACTTTGTGTTACACAACTGTTGATAACAAGAAACTATATGAGGGTTTGTTTGCTTCTTAAGTTGCTCCTCCAGAAATTCTGGATAACGCTTATATTTCGATGTTAGCATCGACTACGAGAAGATAAATATGTGTATATGTTTGTTAAACCTCGTCACAGACCAGGTTTCTTTTATCAGAGCAGCTCTGAACAGGTTTCTTTACTCAGGTGTACGCTGGATCCAAGTTCACCTTCTCCAAGATCCCATATCCCTTCACTCACAACAAAAGGGTACGATATCGTCCAACACTCCAAGTGTAATAGCCACGTAATGTGTTTATCGTGTCTTATTTAATTAATTATTGTTGTTCCGTCTTCAGCTGAACGGCCAGTGGAAGGGGCTCAGTGCCGGAGGTTGTGGGAACTATAAGGACTCGTACAAACACAACCCGATCTATCAGATCAACCTGGAGCGACCGGGACCGCTGCTCATCGAGCTCCGAGGATCCAGGTCAGAGCGCTAATCTAAGAACAGATTAGTTTAAAGTGCAGCACAGTATTTTACAGAAGCAGTTTCATCGAAAAATCAGATGATTAGCTTCACACGCATCTTTCCTCTCATTGTCACCATGACACGATTTTGAAAGAAATTTGTTGCGTCCTCATTTAGACATTTAGGCTCTTTCTCTCCATCTATTGCCGTCGAGAGTTTAAAATTGCTGATCATGTTTTTGACGTTTGAAGTTAACTTCGTGATTATTAAAGAATTATGACCAAAAACATTTTGTATATTATATACAATATGTCCTGATTGGCCCATTTCACAGTGTCAATATAAACTTGTGCAAAGACTCATCACATGAAGCAGCACTGACCATTTATCACTCTGGTGTGTGTGTGTGTGTGTGTGTGTGTGTGTGTGTCTGTGTGTGTGCAGGCAGTACAGTGTTGGCTTTGAGATGGTGACCGTGTCGACGGTTGGGGATCCAGGTCCAGCATCCTTCCAGAAGAAGACTAGTGGAGATTACAGGTAACTGTTCTGATTATTTACTTCAACATGTTAAGTCTTCTGCGGGACGACAGAAATATCTTTCTCATTCCATCCAGTCAGAGAAACACCATCTGGATATCTGGAGAAATCGATTCACAGTCCATCATTACACAACGATTACGGAGAATTAATTTCCAGACACAAACATGTACAAGTACAAAGAAATGTGATCATTTGACAGTAAAGACATTTAACGGTCTGTAGAGAAATCTAAACTAGGGCATT